ATGGTTTGCTGCAGAAATAGCTGGCAAGTAGGTCACTTACTTTAGTTTTCTTAAAAAGAGCAGAACTCCTTGGCACAAAGGAACAAATGTCTGCATTGGCTCTAGTTGCGCAGTTAGCTGGCCAAACCAAGGAGCATGACTGAAGTGGCTTTTGCGACAATTCGCAGTCCCATTCGATGCTGCATCACAAAGCTCATTGGGATGAAATGCGTGCCTAAGCATGAGATAAATGCGTTTCGTAGATCGTTTCCATTGTTTCAATTTCCTGAGACCAGATACAAAAATGTGTTTAGCTTGGTATTTTTACAATCCCTAGTGAGGCTGAAGTATTGAAAAGCACGCCATATTCGGCTACATTGATCTCCTCTGAAGTTGATAACTCACAAGAACTGTCTCACATAACGATATAGAACTATTGCTGGCCTAGCGCACAATGGTTTGGTGTGCCTGGTGTGAGGCACCTGAGATGGAATGAGTGAGTGGCAATTTATCTAATTTTAGTCGTATGATTGCAAATCAGTGTCCGTTACTCACCCACTGTTATCAGAAACTGGCAAAGCGAATGCAGAAACCACAAATCCATTGCACCATTAACTAGTCGTTAGTGCTACTTAGTGTGCAGTCGGAAAGCAGGCATTTATGCTGTATTCTGTATATCGCTTTGATTAACTTGAAAATCATCTTGACCGCACATTGCGTACTTTTGCATTTGTGTGTCTCTGTGAAGGATGCTCCTACCACCACCTTATTTTAGATGCGCCATTTGCAGGCCCACATTTAATATACGCTCAACGATTTAAGCACCCGTACCTTTGTCCACCTTTACAATACAGTGGCATCTACTTTTCTAATTTCCTCCCTAAACCGACACTTAAAGTCGTGCGCATTTTGATTCGAGAATGCAAATCATTGTCAAACCAGGCTTGCAGCGAATTGAGTCTCCGACTTTGCCTTGTATTTTATCGCACAATACTCGCCAAACTGACAGCCATAGTACTGCACCTACCTCAATACATGTGCTGCTTTATACTACCCTTTAGTTATTGCATGGACAGAAGAAAGACGGGTCTGTCTGAATGTGGTTCCAGGCTTAGGCGATTTGTCGCATGTGAGAATGCTCCGATTCCCGATCCATGCGGTTTGAATGACCAGAGAATGCCAAACGTTGTTGCTG